CCTTCCCACGCCGTTCAATCGAACGACGTGGCAGTATTAAAAGGCCAACTTGTTCACTCGACTTGACGCCAATGAAATTCTTTTTTGGAATCGCAGGAAAGAATAAGTTTCATGAGAAAAAATCCCACACAGTAGACAAATTAAAAGGGTCCATCTTGGAGGCATTTATTGTCATTGATGCGATCAGAATTTGGATCGTACCGTGTGTCACAATGTTCTAGAGAGGTTCTAGGAATATTGCAAGGTTGAAGAGGGGTATTTCTTCGGAGATTAAACAGTGTTAAACAAATGTATTTACAAGAAATAAATATAAATGTAATAAAAACTGTTTACCTATTTTTAGGTGACTGTATTTATCGGTACAACTTATATTAATTGATCTATTTATTTTTTTATTCAGGTGCTCTTTAGGATCTGCATTGTTAACAGGGACAAGAAATGGCTTGTCAATTTTAACGCCCCCAAAACGAAACTGTACTCTTTAAATCGTCTTTTGCCTTCCATCAGCATATGGCAGATGCTAACTCCAGTTGAATGACACATTGCACCTTATCGAGCTAACATTTTCCACAGACATGAAGAGAAAAATTACATGGAATCAATTTCTTGGTCTACTATATTTGTTTCACTGTGTCGCGCTAGACAATTTTCTCGACAGAATCTATCTTGCATATTTATAAGTCTACCATTCGTTCATGATTTGAATATTGCTGTGACATCTGGTTTGGTGTTTATACCATATATTTAGAATCTGCAATTTTATCGATCCTGACCTAGCAGCTTGGCTTCTGTCACTTTCCCACCTCCGTCACATAGCTTCCATGTGCCTTTTCTATAAATAGTTTTATGCTTAATGTTCTGATGAACCATCCACTTTGGTACCTCGACTTTATGAATTTAAGCGCAAAAAATAGAGGGACGATGTGGTTTCATCATTTTACTGTTGAAATGTCAAGATGTAATTGTAAGTTCTATGCTAACAGTATTTTATTTCGCACTTCTCTCCTGTGAAACTCTTCTTTGGTTTCTTACTTCCCAACAAAGTTTGATCTTCAATAATTTAAATCCAATGTCAATAGTTATCTTCTGTCTTCTTAATTCTTGTTCTTTTATTGTTTTTCAGTTGTTCTTTTTGTTGTTTTTAATTTTCTTATATTCTCTGAAACTCAGTGACTCCTTCTATTTTAGTGACTTTATTGCTTTGCCTTGGCTGAAATTAAAAAAAAAAAAAGCATGTGCGTGTAGCGTAATTTTTATCGATGAGAAATTCAAATCAGTAAACTGAATTCACTTTTACATTGATTCTTCGGGGAAAAAACTTAGATACATTTCTTCTCCTCCAGCTATGGATTAAATGTCAGAGTCGACTGTGCTCTCTTGCTTTGGATGACAGCCAATCTCAGAGAAGTGCTACTCTGAATCCCAAATCGTGGAAAAAGCAACAGGAAACCACCCCATGCGAATTCACAGACCATAAAAAGGACGCCGTGAAGAGCTATGATTGTCTACTTCCTAAAGAGACAAGACATTAAAACAAACCCGACTTTTAGCGACTGCCTTTGCGATTTCTGCCGTTCGATACTGTGCGTTGGAAAAATGTCGCTTTTATCACTGTCGCCATTTTTTAAGACTAGACTTTGCATGACACGCTCTTTCCCCAGTGCACTTTCCTCGGTTTTGTGTTGAAATGACGTAATTATCTCAATAAATATTAAGATCAAAGACTATAACATTTCTTCAGCTTAATCTAATTTTCTCTCTTCACTTTTATCTTACCTTCTTTTATTTATTTTCTCACTGAAACACAAGAAATCGGACAACTGTAATGCAAAATACAAAGAAATGACATAATGACATACATTTTCCACGGCATATATATGTAAAAATCCTAAAGTTTTCGTATTCTATATCTGGGTGGTTACCTTTGATTGCTCTGTCTTAATGATATTATTATTATTATTATTATTATTTTCTTTGATTTCTGGCGTTTACACATTTCTTTCCGGGTCCCGCCCAGGGACCTAAGGTTAGAGGTGGCGTCATGACACCCTCCACTGACAAAAAAAAAAGTTAAATTACATAGATAAAGCCCTTCGTAGGGTGTGGGCTGTACTTGTCAGAACAATATTTTGTATCTCCTTTAGGCATGGACTTCCAGGAATCCCTTCAATTAGTCTACTGCATTTTTTTCCAACCAGTCCTAGGGCTCCAACTACAACAGGGATTGTTGATGTTTCCATGTGGCACATTTTCGAGATTTCTATTTCAAGGTCCTTGTACTTTGACAACTTTTTGAATATCTTCAAAGATACATTGCAGTCAGCAGGGACTGCCATATCAATAAGGAGGCATCGTTTTTGTTTGTGGTCTTTAATAACAATATGTCCTATCTCCGTAACCGGGTCTGGGTGGTGTTCATACCAGTTTCTTTCAGTTTTCTTCCCGTAGAAGTTGCAGATTTTCCAGTGCAGATATTGGCCCACTCTGTCATGTCGGGTTTTATATTCAGTGGGTGCCAACACCGTACAACCTGCTACAAGATGATCAATCGTTTCTGGATATTTATCACAGAATCTGCATTTTGGGCTGACACAATATTTTAGTATATGTGCTTGATAATTCCTAGTTAGCAACCCTGCGAAGCAAGGATAAAACCTTAAGTTTCCGCTTTCAACCCTGCACTACGTAGCCACTGACGGGTACGGGTTTTGTCTACGTCAGATTATTATTATTATTATTATTATTATTATTATTATCATCATCATCATTCGATTTCTGCTATCTCTGCGGAAAGACCTTTCGTGGTGTGTTGTTATTGCCACATTTCATGTTACTCCGATGAAGTTGCTAGCGTTACATAGACAAAGTTCTCCTTAGTGTGTGTGCTGTACTTAATAAGACAATTTTCTGTATGTCTCTTAAGCTGGGGTTTCAGGGATTCTTTCAATGTGTTGTTTTGTTCCATTTTTATAATTCCAAGTGCACCTATTACCACTGGTATTATTCTTGTTTTCAATTTCCACATTTTTTCTATTTCAATTTCCAGGTCTTTGTATTTTGATAGTTTTTCAAATTCCTTGGTTGCTATGTTACAATCCGCTGGACAAAGCCATATCAATTAGTAGGCAAGTTTTTTCTTTCTGGTTTTTGACAATAATGTCCGGCCTATTTGCTTTAATTTTTCTGTCTGTGTGGATGGTATAATCCCATAGAATGGTGACATCTTCTATTTCTGTAACCGGCGCTGGCCGATGTTCATACCAGTGTTTGCTTACACATTTTCCAAAGTGTTTGCACATTGTCCAGTGTAAGTATTGCCCCAATCTATCGTGACGATTTTTATATTCATTTGGGGCAAGTATAGAACATCCTGAGATTAGATGGTCTATTGTTTCTTGGTATTTGTCACAGAACCTGCATTTTGGATCCACATTATTATGTATGATATTTGCCTGAAAATTCCTAGTGAAAAGACTCTGGTCTTGCGCTGCAAGAATAAAGCCTTCAGTTTCAGACTTTAATCCAGATGCTCGTAAATTATTATTATTATTATTATCATTATTATTATTATTATTTTCATTATTATTATTGTTGTTGTTGTTGTTGTTGTTGCTCTGTACTTCCGTACAGAGCATTGTATTTACAAAATCGTTTTCCCTAAAGCAATTACAGTTTAGAAATGTCATAATCGACATTTTGGGCGAAGCAGATTCCTTGTTATATTACTGTTAAAAGCCAAAATATCTAAAGAAATACCCCAAAAGGATATAAAGAAACAAAAAAAATATGAAAAGGAGAATTCTACATACATGCGCATACACACACGCGTACACAAGCACACACGTGTATACACATGCGCATACATACACACACGTGTATACACATGCGCATACATACACACACAGACACAAAGAGCTATGTCAACCTAACGACAATGAATAGCCGATAAATTATTTTCTAACGTACTATGAAAATAAGGAAAATGAGAAAATCAGCAAACAATTGCTGATGACTCCTGAACCGAACGATTACAAAAAGGTGTGTCTACGAGACTATGAAGTCGGGATGCTGAATATAACATCAATCAGCTAAGTGACAAATTTTATATTTGCATTAATCCTCTCTCTCCCCACTCTGTCCCCACTCCCTCTCCGTATCTATCTAATACGCACATATTCATATATACTTTTACATGAAAATGTGCAACATCTTTAATGTCTATATGTATATTTAGATAAATACACACTCTCTCACTCACTTTGGTGTATATATATATATATATATATATATATATATATATACACACACACATATATATTTGTATATATATATATATGTGTGTGTGTGCGTGTGTGTGTGTGTGTGTGTGTCTTTGTGTGCATGTATGTATGTATTACTTACATTTAATTTGTTATAATTCTAAATCTGTCATGTGATTCGCAGAAGAAACTAAAAGTACTACTTTCTACTTTTAAATGTGAATCATTGAATATGAAAAATTGAATTCCTCCACTAAAATATATTCCTTCGGACGGCAAGAAAAACAAAACAAAAAAAAAGTACCAAGCAAAGCTGACAGAAGCAAAACTAAATAAATAACTAATAAAACAATTAAAAAAAACATGGAAAAAATCATGTCATCCAGTAGAACGTCTTTTTGACAATAGATGTCGTCAGGTAGCAGGTAAAAGGTCAACAACAGCGAAATCCTTTTTATCGTTTCACAAAAAAAAAAAAAAAATGTTAGGTATTCTTTTCCCAAGAAAGTCTACACTGACACCCGCCGATATACGGACCATAACCCACTCTCGAGTCGTACCCTGATTAATTGTTATTATAAATAGATCAACAATCAATGCAACAACCGTTGCTCATTATTTTTGCTTGTAGTTTGACCGTTTATTTTTTTACCGACATATTAAAAAAAAAAAAAAACTAATTTATCGTATCTTTACCGTCACGTTTATAACAAAGATGTGGGTAAGTCTATTATTGTCATCTTAGTTACCACCCACTATCATTTTGGCTTTGAGGACAGCATAAGCCTCATAAAAATGACTTGAATTGTAGGCGAGGTTGTTAGAAAAATACTTTGGATTATTTCTGATGACATGTATACAAAAACACTTTTTTTTTTTTAAAGTAAAGGAATATTCATCAGTGTGTGTGTGAACGTACACATATTCGCACTCAGTTTGTAGTTGCGCGTACCAGTTAATAGATAGATAGATAGATAGATAGATAGATAGATAGATAGATAGATAGATAGATAGATAGATACGAACAGACTGAGATAGATAGATAGATAGATAGATACGAACAGATTGAGATAGATAGATAGATAGATAGATACGAACAGATTGAGATAGATAGATAGATAGATAGATAGATAGATAGATAGATAGATAGATAGATAGATACGAACAGATTGAGATAGATAGATAGATAGATAGATAGATAGATAGATACGAACAGACTGAAATAGATAGATAGATAGATAGATAGATAGATAGATAGATAGATAGGAAGAGTCTGACATAGATAGATAGATAGATAGATAGATAGATAGATAGATAGGAAGAGTCTGACAGATAGATAAATATATATAGAGAGAGACAGAGAGATAGGAAGACAGACAGTTAAAAAGCAAATACACACACGCACACGCGCACGCACTCATGCGCACACAACACACACACATTCATACACAACACAACACACACACACACGCGCGCACACACACACACACACACACACACACACATATATATATATATATATATATATATATATATATATATATATATATACAGGCATAGAAAAATAAACTGAAATCAAAAGAAAATTATACAAAAGAAAATTTAAAATGTGAAATAATCAATAATTTATATATCATTTATTGTTCGTTTTCATTACAATAATCTCGTAAAATCTCAGAAAACCTCGTTACATAACCAGCGGAGATGGACGTCTTTGCCATCAGAATTCCGTTCATTCTAATAAAAGAATAACAATATTTCTTTCAATTTCCTTCAGCAAATTTTAGCGGAATAACTATGAGCATTTGAAAAGACATACCAGAAACTATTAAAAGATTTAATCTAAAATTTGCCGTTATAATGCCTATATACGAATGAATGTTACAGTTGTGGCTTTATGCATGTCTGTGTACTTATGTGTGTGTGTCACATACAATAGAGACTTGTTTACGTAATTCACTTTGAAAACTTTTTTTTTATTTTGAAATTCACAATTGGCTTTTGTGCACAAAATCCATGCAGTGAACAAAACAATTTAAAGAAAATCACATTTAGAAAATTCATTAACTTGATTGTTTAATTCTTAAGTTGTTTGTTTGTCCAGTTTATTAATTTGTTTGTTAAGACCATTTTAGAATAATCACTACGAGGTATTATTTTTGCATAGCTTAGTCCACAATCTAATCGGACACTTTATTCCATCTTCGAAACTGTCAATGGGGTCTGCATTTTACGTATTCATATGTGTGCATTCAGTCATTTTTGTCAATAATGTTCACTCTGTACAAGACCTAAATGCCATTTGAGGTAGAAGGTTACCGCATCACAGTTTATAGGGATACGTCAAGAATATAACGGTTAATCGTAAATTTAGTCAAAGGCAAGCATCATCTTAGTAGTGGGCTCCACAAAGCAGCAGTTAATGAAAAGAAGCTTCTCGAGGGGAACTAAGCAATGGAATGCAAAGGGTGGTTTTCGACAATAGGCGTGGCATGGTGGGTCTTAGCCGTGAAGATTAAAATTCGTGGAACCAAGGAATGTAGTTCGTCTGAGCACTTTCCATGAAAATAGTGATAGAGCAACGAGAAGCTTGCGACATTTCATCTATGGGAAAGAAGTCGTAGGATGGGAAATATTTAATCAACCACAAGGACGCGGAGATGCATTTGGCCTCTATCGAAACTTGGAAATTAAAACGTGAGCAGCTCCTGAATATATATACTAGCAATACTCCACGTTTCAGCCTGATCTGGTTCTTGTAAAGGTAGAAGATAGCAGAAGTTTGGTACTTATTAGAGAAGTACAGGGAACCGATCATTTTTTTTTGTCAGCATCTTTATATGAGTCCCACCTGCAACCCCTTTTCCCACAGTCGAAAATCGACCAGAATCGTCCTTATGAGTTGTTACAAATTGTGGGTGAGTATGTGCCATTTTATGGCACTTTGAACAGTGGACCTGAGATGTTTACTCAATTTACAACCCATAAGGTCGATAATACTAGCATCTTATATAGGTTCTGTTACCGAAAACATCTCGATGTGAGAGAAGATCCTTACGCAACTCAACATAAATCTCATCTGATTCAGCAGGTAATAAGAATGTTTGAATATTTCTTTTTTTGCATCTATGCATTGAGTGTATAATTGCATAAATGAAGGCTGATTTGTCTGCATTGGGGGATTAAATCTATCTAAAGTTGTTTTACGTGATTAAATAGTACTATTAGAAGTAAATGTGATAGATAGATAGATAGATAGATAGATAGATAGATAGATAGATTGAATGTTACTTGTAATAGAAGCTAAAAGGAGACGAAAAGTATGATAGATAGATAGATAGATAGATAGATAGATAGATACATAGATACATACATACATACATACATACATATTGAAATAGCTAGCTAGCTATTTAAATAGATAGATACAAGCAAACTGGTATATATATATATATATATATATATATTTATATATCGAGAGAGATAGAGAGATAGATACGTTCTATTTGCGGCTTCTAAAATGATAAAAATAGAAATTCTTAACCAATAAATTTTGTCAATGTATATATAATAACAGAAACGGGTGTAAGACGAGGATATGCATTCTGACCGTACTTATTCAACCTATAAGGCGAGAGGATTCTGAAAGAATTAACAACATAAAATATACAGATGACACCCTGTTGATAGAAGGAAGAACAAGAACAAGACGATAACTTCGATTGCAATTCAACATTACAAGTCATATATCTTCTTCTTCTTCTTCTTCTTCTTCAACATGATAACTCATAGCACACATTATATATTTTTCTTCTTTTCTTCTTCTGTTTCTTCTTCTTCTATTTTTTTTCTTCAACACGATTACTCCTATTACAACTCATTATTACACCTAGTATATCATCATCATCATTATCATCTTCATCATCATCATCATCATCATCATCATCATCATCATCTTTTTCTTCTTCTTCTTCTTCTTCTTCAACACGAAAGCTTTCATTGCAAATCAGCATTCCACATTATATATTTTCTTCTTTTCTTCTTCTTCTTCTTCTTCTTCTTCTTCGTCTTCTTCTTTTTCTTCTTCAACACGAAAACTCTCATTGCAAATCCGCATTCCACATTATATATTTTCTTCTTTTCTTCTTCTTCTTCTTCTTCTTCTTCTTCTTTTTCTTCTTCTTTTTTTTCTTCGACACGAAAATTCTCATTGCAAATCAGCATTCCACATTATATATTTTCTTCTTCTTCTTCTTCTTCTTCTTCTTCTTTTCTTTTCTTCTTTTTTTCTTCTTCAACACGATAACTCGATATATATATATATATATATATATATATATATATATATATATATATATATATATAAAAAAAAAATTGAGAAATATAAACAGTTAATTACTGATACACTGAAGAGTGGTCGGACTGGTCCGTCTACAAAACACTTGAGCCAGGATGCTGAAGGTAACATCAATCAGCTGACAAACTCATATTCATATTATTTATATGTGTGTGTGTGTTCATGTATATTTTAAACGGTATTTGAATATATATATATATATATATATATATATATATATATATATATATATATATATATATACTGGCATTTTAAAACTCACCTTTTAGATGGTAAAGGCATTATTTTCCCTACCACCACCATCACTGTCAGTGTTCCTGCTACAACCAACGATTTGAGCGTTATCACAAAGTGCCATTATTCCCACAACTGACATCACATTCACCTCAACCCACCAATGTATTTTCCTATTATTTCTACCATAATGGTCACCTACCATCATCATTGCCACAAGCTAAACATTCCCTTCTTCAACTTTATTCTTACGGCTTCCTTGACCACTTGAGGTTTCGTGACATCTCTTACGTCTGAATCTAAATAGATGACTTGCCTTCTATAAAATAAAGAGAGAAAAGTCTCTGAAAATCGAAATTGAAAGAATAAAAATAAAATAAAATAATACAAATGATACTGCAATGATAACAGAATTTGTAAGAAATCTTTTGCATTTGTAAAACAAACAGAATAAAAAAAATATGACGCTCAGGAACGGACAGTCACTCTTAAAGAAACCAACGTCCGTAAGCACTGAGCAGCACTGAACGAACTGATTCTAATGTAGAGAGCATCGTTACAAATGAATCTGCATTAAGAACAGTGTAAATAATAAAACAAAATAAAAAATTAAGAAAGCAATGTGATAATAAAAACTAATAAAGCAAAACTTTAGAACTCGGTAAAGAGCCCATGAAACAGTATGAAAAGACAACAAAACAGGGAAAGAGATTAAAGACAATAAACAAAACATAGAACTGAACAAAAAATAAAGTTAATAGCTACTTCGATAGCCGGGGATTATACAATATATTATATTATCTAGGCTTATACTAAAATCTTATGTTTATATAATGGGCTACTATTCAGACTACGAAAGGAAGTCTTAGCAAAGAAATACAGAAACAATGCTGATAGTAAGAACAATGTACTCAGAGATAATAAGAATAATATCAATTAATGACAACGATAATGATAAAGTTAAGGACTACTGGTGATTATTTCTAAATTAAAGAAATATTCATAGATAAAAATTAGATCATTACTTATTATTTACTGTTAGTTTTTAAAACTAGTTTACACTTAATTATATATTCGATTAATCATCAAAAAGGCTTTTAAATTTAAATCAAATGAACAATATTACTGCTACTTATACTAGCAATAATAATAATAATAATAATAATAACTCTATGATGCATGTAGATAGTATACTCTTATCAGACTGGGTATCATGATGGGTATATTGGGCTTTGAATATTTGCACCCCAGCATCATTTTGTTGACATAAGGCTCTCACACTCAATATTAATAATAGTCCGACTGTAGTTTAAAAACAGTAAAATCGATCCTGCTGACCGAAACACTCCTCTGTGGCGAAATCGGTAAAGGCACGTCAGGCTATACGACAGTTCTCTATAGGATACAGGCTCGATTCCTGTCGGCAGATGTATATATTTTATTAAAATTTCTCGGACATCCAGGCCGGTAAATGTTATTCGTAAAGGTAAAATAAATTCCGTGGGTGTATAATCCATGTGGGTCCTGGTGATACAAAAATATTAAAATTGATCCACAAAAAGAGATTTCGATGTATTTTATTTGTACAGATCAATATATGAATAACCAGAAAATTTTCTTTTTACCTCATGTAAGGAGGAGACTGGAGCAGTACAGGGAACTGATCGCTTCTCCAGCATCTTTAACGATGTATGTACGAGTTCCACTTGAGCTCTGGGTTGGATTTAAGTCTCAAATTCTGAGTCACATCAGCAATGATGGAATGTCACTGGGTCGAATTTTAGCGACATTGAACGTGACGAAGCAGTTTTTCGCCTGTTACACTTAGGATAGATCAGCTGTCAGTCTCTGGTCACCTAGAGTTTCGGAGGTGTACCCATATACCGTTGTATCATCAGTGTAGATATTCATAAATATTTGGGGTATACTCTGAATCAGATCATTTATGTAAACTAGAAAGAGAACTGGACCGAGAAACGAACATAGTCCTGCCAAAGAACAACACTCATGAGCTGAAGATTACATTTAAGCATGAAATGGACTGTCGCTGCTTGGTGTCGAATTCGTCAAGCAGATCAGTTCCTAGGAGCCTACAGCCCAACACCAGCACATAAGATTTGATTATAGTAGTGAAGGTTTTGTGCAGACTACAAACTACACTTTTTGGAGGACCGCATACAGAGACTTGGGATACTATGTGCCACAAGGTCTCCAAACGAGCCTCCGCAGGTTTTGAATTCTGAGTTGTCCTTCTCCTAGAGCAGTTGCCACGGCTATAGAATCCAGTCTGCCCTGCTATCTACCCATAGCTGGAGGGAGAAGAGTTTCCATACCTTTCCTATATATATATATATATATATATATATATATATATATATATATAGTACCGCGCGCGTGTTAATATGAAAGTTATTTTTAGTAGATAACCTTATTTGAATAGAATGTTATTTTTTAGTGTATACCCGTATTTTAGTAGAAAGTTTTTTTCGTCTACCAGCCCGCACATTAGAGAAAAGGTAAAATATCTGCAACCACTTCTTACGATAAACCACTGTCTGTACCGTTTAGACCGCTCGGCTACGAAGAGCCTTGCAGCCAATCAAATTTCTTGTTTAAAGTTTGTTATAGGGTTAGTGTGTTCATTATTGGTAATAGTTTCTAGTTATACGTTTTTGGGACTTAGATATCAACACTGAATTCTGACTGTAGTATCTAAAATTCAATAAAACATTAGATTAGGGAGAATATTTTCTCAAATTTTTTAGATTTCTGACTACTTAAAAATTATATAAAAAAGGCGCTCACGTTATATTCGACAATTATGCTTTACAGATAAATCCCCAGTAGAACGGTATTAGATAAATATCTATCTCCCATCAAGCTGTCAAGATGTGAAAAGCTTAAATAAACCGCTACCACCGGCTTAAATAATGCATATCTGAGATATTTTAAACTTAACGTCAATAATATTTGTTTCCAATCAATTTAAATTACTTCTGAAATGCAGCAATTTTCTTATTGGAAATATGCCATTTAATTATCATTATATATTAGCTTGAAATTTAAATTAAATTAAAAGCTTCAAGAAATATTTTTCATTTTTGAAAATTAATTTTAAATCTTAGATATCGCAAATATGTAGAGGCACCTATATAAATATGTGGATCTATCTATCTATCTATCTATCTATCTATCTATCTATGTCCGTCTCTATCTGTCTGTCTGTCTGTCTGTCTATCTATCTATCTATCTATGTCAGTCTGTTCATATCTATTTATCTTTGGATATTTCGACGTGGTGATTAGCAAGCTTATCTCGTTAGAAAAATTACAACTAATTCTTTTGGATTTGTGCCACATTTAAGCTACGCTTAGAAAATTATCACGTTTTTTAATCTCGTTGGAACACAAGTTCGTGATGTTTATTATTCGGTGGCATTGGAACACGTAATTTTGTTTTATATGTTAGTGAAAATTGTGGCATATATGCATATTTTGAACGGTTACATTTTAATGAGTCTTTTTATAACTGTTGAATTGCGAATTTTATTTATTTACTTTTATTTTTTGTTAAATGCATTTTCATTAACTGACGAAAAAAATATGTACAAACAGTAAAAAAAGACATGTGCCGTTTATGTAGATGGTGCCATAGATGAGAGTATTATTATCCATAAATGCTTCACTTGGGTAAAAAGTGGATATTGAAGAGTTATTCTGCATATATTATATGAACATTACAAAGCATTTGGATATGTTTAGATACGTGAACAATAAGATGTTTGAATG